TGAACCAGGGCCTTTCTCACAGCTAGCACTAATGTCAGCACTGATGGCATTTCCCCTAAGTGACCCCTGAGGTCATCACCATCCATCGGAGAGGTGTGAAAACCTGAGAAGGGAGCGGGGAGCTGATGTACAAGTCATTAAGTGTCAACAGAACTGACAGGATGAGATTTCCTAGCAGACCAGGTTCCTATAATGACAGAGAACTCACGTCAGTAAACTTGAATCTGTGATCGCTAAAGTGATGCTTCAGTTTGCATGAGGTAGAGAAGGCAGGGGAAACAGTTATGACTTAGCCTACACACTGTACAGTAAATGTGTCTGCTGCTCCAGTCCACATCGATCTCTTTTCTATCTATACTATTGTTTCGTTGTGCATTTACAAAATGATAAATTCATCTAGATTGTAGTCACACAGGTTGACTCCCTTATGTCAGGGGATGACCACAGGGCAGTAAGTCTCAGAGAAAAAGAAAGGGAATTGACCTTTGTTGATCACTTACTTTGCATAAGACCTGTCCTAAGTAATTTGCATGTTAGCATGAAGAGTCTTTTTTTTTTTTAAGCATCTATTAATTTGTAGAAAATACCAGATTTCATCAAGATGCCATATACATGTCTGGGATGCATTTTCATCATATTTCTCCATCACTCTCTCTTGCCTTTATCCCCCAAGGTTGCATCGTCTTAGGGACAACTCGTGTGATAACTCACATTACTCTCTCTAGGCAATAAAGAAAGATGAATCACTTGCCCATTCAAGTGCCTGTGCTAAGGTGCTACAAGATGGTGAAACTAGGTGCATCTGGTTCAAACAGCCTCGTGGCTGAAGGAACCAGACATGCACGACATTTGAAGCTTCCTCAAGTCTGAGTTGAAGAGGTTTGCAGATGCAATCAAGGAAACTCAAGCAGGAGATTCACCAAACATCTCATTAAAGCGCAACCTTCCAAGAGCAATGCCCAAAGCTATCTAGATCTGGCCGGAGATTTTGTTAACGGGATGGAACCAAAACAGACACTGTGAAGAGCTCTGACAGACATTCCTTTCACATGTGTGGGGCTACTACGGTTAACCAGGGAACACGACTTTGATCCTCCAATCAGATAACCGGGAAGCGATCTGGAATTCTTTAAATATTCATTACCATGCTCCAGGCAGAGCACGGGGCAGACATTTTTACTCGGATGAAAAGACCAGGCAGGGCCCCAGGCAGTGTTTTGCTCTTCAGTTTCTACTTTGAACAGGGCAGGAAGTCGCTGAAGATTAACAAAGTAAGCAAACTTGTTGGCTGCCCAAACTGTAGATCAGTTTGAGGGTAACTTCGGGGACTCTGAACCCTTGGACTGGGCTGTGACGTTTCCATAACAACGAATGACAGGCAACACGGCAAACAGACGTGACTCATATGAAATGCTTCGGTTCAGTTCGCAGAGGCCAAATTTGGTCACTGGGAGACCTTTAAAGAATAGTCATCCCTGTCTAACTAATCACATTCAAAGAGCAAAGCATCCCTCAGGAAGAACGGCCTCCCCCCACCCCCACCCCTTCAGGAGCCGCCAAGAATCCCTGTTAGTCAGTCACACATGGCAACTCCCTCCAAAGGCCCACTGCTTGACCTATAGGGACTGAGTAGGGTAGGTCTCCGTGGTGCTGGGTGGTGCTGGGTGGTGCTGGGTGGTGTTGGGTGGTGCTGGGTGCTAGCTAGTCTCCCATTTCAGAGGTGGGGTCACCTGCAATGGCTACAAATGGCAATGGCAGTGGGATGAGGAAGAAACAGGAGAGCGCCCCCATTTGTAAAACGGAATCCTGAGGGTCACACACACACACACACACACACACACACACACACACACACACACACACACACACACAGTCTGCAAGCCTGCAGGCCACCTGCCCCAGCCCTAAGGCAAGCTTGCTAAGGCTGCTCCTCCGGGGTGTGTGCCCTGCTGACTCCAGCTGCTGCGGCATCCTGGAGACACAGCCCTCCAGGACTTGTTTGTTGCCCAGTTTGCGCGTCTAGCCCCTCCTTGCCCCCAAAGCTTACTTCCTCCATGCCACCTCCTCGATGCTTGGTGTCACCCAGGTCCCTTTATTCTCTCCATTTACAGTTTCGTCCCTTGTCCTGTCTACCTGCCACACAGTAACTACAGAGAGTTTTGAGTATCCCTTTGTCTTGTTCTAAGGGCAGGACACATATGCCAGGTGCTGAAATCCAGGCACCAGCTTCCCCCCTCATCCCCCAGAACTTTCTTTCTCTCTTCGCAGCTCTTTCTGAATCTTCTCTCGCTTCCTCACCTGGCAGGTTTTCCTTCATGAGTACCGATAGAAAGTAAGGCTTCTCTGGCATTTTCCCTCCCATGATCATATTCTGCAATGATGCATTTGTATTTGTGACTAGCTTTTCTTCCCATATGTACAACTACAGGATCCAAGCCTGTTTTGCAGGTTATATTTGCAGCCCGTCCGCCACAGAACCTGGCGACAGTACGAGACACATACACACACAACACAGAGAGACAGAGAGACAGAGAGACAGAGGGACAGACAGAGAAAGAGACACACAGAGAGAGAGAGATTTAACTGCATCTGACTCATCTTATTTACGCACAATGGATTTCACGGGGAGGCGGCTTTTAGATCCACCCACTCTGCAGGTGGAGATTGCCAAAGACAAAGGGTAGACCTGATTTCCCAATGTTCAGCGCCTGTGGAATAACTGAGTAGGCCTTTCAGGGAAGGCTGGTCGGGCAAGCCCCCTCCTGCCAGCGCAGAGGCAGCCAGGCGCTGGCTCCTGAATCATTTCCTGTTGGCTCCCGCAGCCCTGCAGCCCTGAAGAGCCAAGCAGAACTGCTGTGACAGTGAGCTCAAGCCAGCCCTGTGTTGTGGGGAATGTCTTTACCTGAGGGCGTTTCTCAGGGAAAGTCGGGGCATTCTAAGTTGATGCAGTTGGCAGCTGACAGAGACACTGTGCCCAAGACACTCGGTAAAACGTTCTCCTTGCTGATAAGCTGCAACGGTGAAATCTAAACCAGAAACTTACCCATAAGGAATCTAAGTCATCAAGACAGATGGTCCTTAGCCCTCCAACACTGCCTTTGGTTGGTTTTTTTTCTGTCCCGACATCTTCAATTTTAAATCGGAATGAAAGGGCTGGGGCGAGAGGAGTAGACATAACTTCAGTAGTTATGTGTGGGCTCATTTATTGAAGAACGAGCCTCTGAAACGGGTATTATCTACTTCATTACTCCAGTAAAGGGAGTGAGGTTGAGCCATGAGATGGCTGGTCTACCATGCCAAGTGTGACGGGGCCAGGCAAGGGCCCCGAGACCTGCTCACCCACGGCCAGCCAGCTCTGTGCAGCTGCTCTGTTCTCAAGTGCAGAGGTTTCTGCTGAACCAAGAGAAAAACACAGCTGGATGGATGGTACAGTTGAAATGCTGGGAACCAAAGGAACGTCTTTCCTAAAACACTGAGTCGGAACAGTTGGTGAAAATGTGCTTCTTCTCTTCGTTGGAGAATACGTTTAGTATAAATCACTCAGAATTGGCATTTTCCTACTTTGGAAACAATGGGAAAGTGGTAACTTCAAACTGAGTTTGTTCTCAAATGGTCTCTTTCTCCTGATTCCACTCTGTTTTGTCTATTTTTAGCTAGGAGAACATCAAATCCATAGCAGAAACCCAGGAAACATTTACTGAATAAATGAACAAACTAAAAACTCTGTAATCAGAAATGCAAATGTGCTTGGAGAGTATACTTTTTGCATACAGACATCCAATTTTAATACAACAATTGAAACTTACTCTAGAATCAAGTGCACGGGCTGTGGAGTTGGGGGAGTCAGTTTTTACCTTCGGTGTTAACTCTGGGGGACCTCAGGCGAAGCGTCAGTCACCCCTGCCTCTTCCCAGGTCTGTAAAACAGAAAAACAACGGAAACTGGGCCGTGTAGGATGAGAGCGCAAGCCTGCGAGGATTGCCGTGCAAATTAAATGATACGAAACTGCAGAGTGAATATAACACACAGCCTTATCCCCCACTCCTGACTGTGTAAATTAAATGACACACAACTGCAGTGTGTCTATAGCACACAGCCATATCCCCACTCCCTAACTGCCTCCAAGTTATCGCTTACAAATAACTAAGTTGCCATTTAATTCTCTACAGGAAAACATAGGCCATTAAACCCATCTGTTAACATGGATTTCAGCTAAGTCCCAACGATGATGCTTAGCCGGCAAGAGAACGTTTATAAGTTATTTTAAAATCTGCAAACAAAAACGTTTCATGAAGCAATCTTCCTGGAGTATTAATTATGTGACTGCCCTACCATATTAATACAGCATATTAATGTCAGCAGCGTGGAGAAAATGAAAAGGCTGGCCTCTTTTTTCCTTTGTGGGAGAGGTGCCTCTGTAGTGGCCTTCTATTTTAGTACAGTTAACGGGTAAACTTCCTGTGTTCCGAGTTCATTACCATCGCCTGCCCTATGAAGATGATAATGGTCAGCAAAACAGGGTTATTTTGGTACCACATAGAGCTGCAAAATCTTCCTCATCAGCAGAATTGGAAAGAGACAGGGAAAGGATTTCATGTTTGGAGTGAAGTGGGTCTCTTTTGATATTTAATAGTAACAAAACAAAACCCTTGTTGATCTAACACAATTTGGTATGCTAGGGGAAAGAAAAGATAATTCACAAGAGAAAATGTCTTAGATTTCATTTTGTTGCTACTGATTAAAAAAAATGTTCTTCATTAAAGAAACATGTAATGTGAATTTACTATATGGGAGGGAATTCCGGTTTCTCTGGCTTTCTCTTGAGTCAGGAAATGCCCCCAAACACCACCCTTGTTTGGTTTTTCTCCTTATTCTGGCAAAATGAGGCTCTTACCCCAACTTTGGCCCCTTCCTTTTCCAGGGACTAAATTTGTGATTATCCACAGAATGGAAAGGTTCAGTACCTTCTTTCATTTAGCGTTTGAAAGATATTTATTGATTATTCACTCCACACAAAACACAGTTTAGGGTCTGAAGGCCTTAGTATCAGCAAGTAAAAAATAAGTCTCATCAAATACACATTGTATGTTATTTCCTTGCCTTGATAACTGCAGTCTACATTTTATTATAACTCAAGGTGACCTGTGTTGTCTGTCCTGACTCACTGAATAGGACATTATATACAGATACACACAGACGCAAGCATACACATGTACACATTTGTTTCCACATACAGTAGTATTTTAATTCAAATCCAACTGAACAAATATTTATTAAAGTCCGGCCCTATAACAAGCAGATGCCTACCATCTGAGGATCTGGGTGAACCAGACCAAGTTCTCCTTCAAGGAGTCTTTGATTTACTTAGGGAAAAGACTTGGGAAGAAGCACCCACCAGGAAGGGCAGAGGTCAAGTGTACTGATGAAGCCCAGAGCAGTGGAGCACACCTGCAGTCCTACAGAGTGTGGGCCAGCCAGGGACACCCAATACAATGGATACCAGCTCAATCAAGGGGAATGCCCATAGTCTCACTCTTAGCAAATTCGGAGGTTTAGAAGAGGGATGTTTCCAGGGAGTCACAGAATTACCACTACTCTTCACTTTGTAGACCCATCAAAAGCATCACCCGGAAGCTTGTTAGAAAAGCAAAATGGCAGAGATCACCACAACCCCCCACCCCGCCAACACCAACCCTCCAGGATCAGAATCTGCTTTGTAAGGCTGAGCGGCACTGGGGCCCCAACCCAAGATGGGACTGTGGCCTACTGGAAGATCTGCAACCAGAGTCAACATTCCAGAACCCAGACTACTACCAGCTGGGACAGGGGACAGACAGACTGAAAACAACAGCCAAGGATGAGAAAGCCTTTCTTCAGTCAAGCTGAGGCGTGCACAGCTTCTAGGCAAGGACCACTTAGCTAGTGCCGTTATTGCAGTACTTTGGTGTGCGGCGCCTACTGCCTCACGTTACAGTGATTTGTAGAGGTGTCTACCCTCATTCTCTCCTCCCTAGCTCCACTGTCAAAATTTAAAGCAGGCCTATCCATCTTTGCATCTCCTGAATCTCGGGCTTTAAGAAACAATGGGCCTGGCGCATGTTCAGCCATGCGATTGTTAGAAGTGAGAGCAGAGCCTCCCCTCATGGCTCACAGGTCAATACTGTAGGCTTGACGTGGCTGTTCATCATTTATTCACTCGCTCAGCAGCTACAGCTTAATGCTAGCTGTCTTCAAGTTTGAAATCTTGCCCCGATCAGCATCCCAACCAAATTCTGATTCCACCCACAAAGACTCTTAGATACCAGGCTGGGGAAGTTGAACTTGGTTCGGCAGACAATGAGTGAGAGCTGAAAGTTTTGAGCAGGGAAAAGTGTCACATTCTGAGCATGACCGTATCCCTTCACCCTGTAACAGGGCCAGCTACGGAAGGCTTGTCCCCAGCTGGTGGAACTGTTTCAGAGGTCGCGGAAACTTAAGGAAGGAGCCTGTAATTAGAAGAAATAGGTCATTGGGGCCATGTCTTTAAAAGTTAAATATGACCCCCAGCCCCTTCCTGTCTTGACTTCCTGTATGCATTAGGTCAGGAGTCTCCTCTATTTCCCTGTACCCCATCCCTGCTGCCCTGATGCTCAGCCATAACTCAGGCCCCAAGTCATGAAGATCTCTGGAACCATGTGCCCAATAAACCCTTCTTTCCTTCACCTTTATGTCAGGGATTATTGTCACGGTGATTAAAAAAAAAATTCTGAGATATGCAGAAGTTACATGAGTGCTGTGGCATCAAACTCATGGGCAAGGGCCCGACCACTGGGCTACCCCTTCATATCAAACTCATGGGCAAGGGCCCCACCACTGTGCTACCCCTCCATATCAAACTCATGGGCAAGGGCCCGACCACTGGGCTACCCCTTCATATCAAACTCATGGGCAAGGGCCCCACCACTGGGCTACCCCTTCATATCAAACTCATGGGCAAGGGCCCCACCACTGGGCTACCCCCTCAGATCAAACTCTTGGCCAAGGGCCCCACCACTGGGATACCCCATCAGGCCTTGCAGAGTGATGCTTTAGAAAATAAGAGCTAGCTGTAGGGGGGGAAAAAGGCACATTGAGAAGTAAGATCTGCAGACTGTGGACTTCAAGAGAAACAGGACATTAGGGGATGCTGAGAGGCCCCAGGATGGCGGTGGTAGTGCTGGTGAAAATGACCGATTGCCAGCGCATCTCCAAAGTCTGTGGATACTGCCTCCGAAAAGGTCTCCAAAATCTAACTACTGTGTCCATCTCCGTTTCAACTGTCTCTGATCTGCTCAGCGCAGTAGCTACTGGGGAGACTCACACTGTATGCTGTTGCTACCCTCTGGTAGAAAGAAAGCCAGAATGCCCTTTAAAAGGCACAAATTAAGCCAGTTGTAGCCCCAGCACATGTGAGACAGAGGCAGGCAGATCTTTATGAGTTCAAGACCAGCCTGGTCTACACAGCTACAAAGTGAGTTCCTGGCCCACCAAAGCTGCATAGAAAGAGCCTGCCTATAAACACACATTGCGCGCACACACACACACACACACACACCCCAAACCATTCCTTTCTCCATCTTGGAATTCCCCAGGGGCACTGCTGACACCATTGCACCAGGCACACTTTGAGGACCCCCCTGGCCAGCCATGCTGTCACCCCTGACTGGGCTCCTGCAGCATAGCCTTGACCTAATGGTCTTGGATCTGCTTCACCTCTCCAAATACAGAATTGTGTTATTTAGCAGCATCTTTCTTGGTCTTGTGTCATAATATGCCCACACATCCTAGTCACTCTGGCACAGTGACTGGCTTACTTACAGTTCCTGCCTACAGAGGCTACAAGATTTTGAAATCCATCAAAGTAATTCTGAGATTAGACGATGCTAACACTTCAGGAAAGGGGACTGTTCTTAAACATTGGCACTAAAATCCTACCTTAATTTTAACTTCAGTTTTATTCTAAAATGTAGTTTGTTTATTTGTTTATTTACATTTGTTAGTTTATTGATTTAGATTTTTACTGAGATCTTTAAAGGTATGATTTCACTATATATTCCAGGCTGGTCTTGAACTCACTGTGGAGTCTAGGCTGATCTGACTAGAGATCAAATTGACCCAGTCTCCCCAGTGTTGGGATCACTGCTGTATACATCTTCTTTATAATATAATTATATTTCCCACTTTAGGTATTTTAGATGTAAAGTTAAGTGGCACAAAGCACATTCATATTCATATCAACCATCATCTAACGCCAAAGTTCTACTACTTCCAAATTAGAACTCCAGATCCATTAAACTCTCCATTTCCCCTCTGCCAGCCCCAAACCGAGCCGCCTGCCCTCGCCTTCACCCCCAGGCCTCACTCAGGCCTATGAGAACTGGCAGGGCTTGCCCTTTAGTGCTTGACTTATTCTCCTCAGCATGATGGCTTCAGGACTCACCCAGGTCTGGTGTGCGTCAGAACTCTAAGGCTGAATCACATCTCATTTATCTGTGTAACTCTATATTATCCATCCACTCACCGAGGTGCGCCCCGCCCCTGCCTTTGGCTAATAGGAATTAGGATAACAGGAATGTGTGTGCACCAGGGACTTGCTCAGCTCTGCTCTTGGGTTCTCGGGGTGCAGAACCAGAGGTCAGTTTGCTGAGTCTTCGGGTCATTCTACAGCAAAACATCTAAATACCTGCCATACTGTTTCCCACACTGTCTACCTAGAGTGGGCAAGGATTCTACTTCCTCTGAGTCCTTGGTGACACTTAGTTCCTGGGTCACTCTTGTTACAGTTGGACTGTAGCTATCCTAATGGGCACAAAGTCCATTTATGACTCCATTGTAGTATAGAAACAAGGGTGGCTGAAATTCTATTTCATTCTCCTTCTTTATGCACAGAAGGTGCTGGAATGCCCCAAGTCAAGTAACTTATACAGCGTTACATAGAACGGAATCAGACCATTGGCTCCAGTCCTCTTTATTCCCAAAGCCTCTAAGAGTCTCTTGACACTAAATACAGAAATGGGGACTAAAAACTGCTAAGTACCAGAGTTTGGAATTCATTAGGGATAACAGTGAGATGTTGTGTGGGATGGACTTGGAGCCCTGGGCTTGTAGTTTTCTTTCCAATAAAATCAGATAGGCACCGGGAAAGCAGATGAGCCTCAATGTACCTCAGTCTACCTGTCTCCAAAGTGGAGATGATAATACTTGCCTGCCAGGAATGCTGAAAAAATTAACTGAAATAATGAATCATTCTATATAGTCCTGATACTATATACCCAGGCATTGAAAAAAAAAAAATCACGACACTTCACCTGGACTTGCAAATTTGACGTGGTTTGAAGACAGATTCTAAGTTGGTTTGGCTTTATCTTATTTCTGGTAGTTTCTTTCCAGTTTAGGGAGGGTTCTAACAAAAGGTCAGAGGAACAACAGCAGCAGATGGACTTCCTGAACCGTGTGCCAAAAGGATCCTTGGATGTCTTCAGGCTGCAGCCTCCGCCCGCCACACAGTGTGGAAGCTCAAGGCCAGACCCCAACATTGTGACTGCGCCTTCCTGGACACTCCCTGTGCAGACTCCAAGTCTGATGCGGAAAATGTGCTGCGATCATCACTGGGGCCAAAGCAGCTGCTCGAGGTGGAGTCTATTGTCCCGGTTCTCCGGGTAACAAAAAGAGGAAAGGCCTATCAAAGCATTTCCTGCTTGCAGGAGCCATATGCTTCCATTAATTCTTTGCCCTGAGTCAGTCTGTCTCCCCCAGGCCAGCATCGCAGCATGTCCACTGTCCCCGAGAACAGAACAGGCAGTTAATTTTAAAACCTTTCCCGGCGAAGGTTAATAAGTGAACAAGTTCAGAGGCCCAGTGACATCACCTACACTTCTGTGGAGAATGGCAAGGAGACTTCACAGTCGGTCAGAATCCTGCTGATCTTTGCTAACCGCTTGGGCGCTGCCACAGACATGTGAGGACAAGAGTGAAGCCTTTGCTCTTCCCATACCACCAAGGGGGTGGTATAGAAAAAGCAATAACGGATGCTCTCTGAACACTGCTTTGGCATATTCACAGATTATGGAAGAACGAGCTAGTGACAGAGACAAGTCACGAAGCATTTCTGAGAGGGTGGTTGAGTGTTGAGAACTGCACTAGTTATCCATGGGGTGAGTTAAAAACCCCTAAATGAACTTGATTCTCAGAGCTAGAGTGTAGTTATGCAGGTAATCTCACGGAGAACATGTGCGGTAAGCAGAGTATACAGCAATGAGGCAGACAAACAGGAAGGAGTTGAGAAATGCGTAGATAGCAATTCTGTGGCTGAGTACAAAATGCTAATCTGGGGCCCAACCTGGTAGAAATCAGGTTATCCTGGCCAAGAGCCTGCCAGTCACCTTCCATCTGGGTGAGGTCGTCTCATATCATCCAGCTCCCAGCTGACCACAGAGGCACCACAGAACCTGGCAGAAGACGGTGGCATTGGCTCGGGCTGGAAGAATGCCAACAGCCCCACACAGAGCTACGTGCTAAGCACGGCAGGGTTCACCTCAAGTCACTAGGTATTGGGGTGATCTGTGACACGTCATACCCGTATGTCTCAGAGGTCAAGAGGTGAGCTCTGCTGTGGAAAGTCCTTCGAAGCTTGCCAAGATGAGGTGAACGCCCTCAGGTCTCTCCAACTGTCCTGTTATTTAGGGGTTAAATTTCTCCCATAAATTAATACATCAGGAGTCACCCTTTATATTGCAGATGGTGCATTTTGTCTTCCTGAGTCTCTCAGCTGTGATCCCCAGAATGTTGAGTGTCTGGTCTTTCTTAGCTTGGCTGCAGAGCTCTGAGTAGGAATATAGCGGATCTGTCCCAGCATGGCCCAAGCAACCATTGTGCCTCATTTGACCTGTGTTTTTTACAGATGTCTCAGAAAGCAAGAGTGAGCTTTAAATTTAAAAACTAAAACTTAGTCCTTTTGTATCTCTTTAAATAACAAGAAGCTACTGTAAAGTAATAGAAAGAGGAATAGGTTTGAAATCCAGCCAGTTGGACATAGGCCCATTGATATCTTTTAGGACTGAGACAAATTCACATGCTAGGCTTGATCTTCCAATGTGGAAGAAAAAGATAGTCATTCTTGGCTACTCACTGCGACTGTGAAAAAATTGAAGACAAAAATCAGATACTCCAATTGTTACTTTGTCTATATAATATCCTGTACTTACTTCACTGATTTAGTTCAGCCAACTTATCTTATTAAATGATTATTTACGATAACTCAATATGATCTTTGTAGTTGGTAATTAAATTCAACCCCCAATAAAGCTTGGTTGGGAAAACATAAGCGAGACTTCCTTCCCCAGTTCCCACACTTCTTAAGCACAGATTATGGAGCTGCCTAAGCCATTCCATTGATTCTGAAATTCTTTCCCTACAAGGTAAGATATATAGAGTTACTTCTGTGGTCAGCACAGCCTTTTCCTTGTAGAGGAACTACCTTCCCTTTGTCTCGTTCACCCGGACGAAATGCCCAGGCTGGGGCAATAACCGGTTGTGATAGGACTCTGACTGGAAGAGGCCAGGACACAGTGTTCAGCTGTCTTAGATCTGTACCAAGACATACAGAGACTCAATCAAAAACAACAGACTAGAGTGTCAGCAAAGCCAGTTCCCCAGTGATCAGAGAATGTGTTTGCTTCCACTGAGGGATTTCAAGCTACCAGGCTGGAGGGAAAGAAGGCACCGTGCTTAGTAGAAGCAATGGACCCTGGCAGAGTGCTGTCGTTCTCAGGCCTTTCAACATGAACCATGGCTCTCGCTGATGGGCCACTGTGGACAGAGCCCTCTTTTGATAGCCTGGAGTGATAGAGGGATGCCAGTGAATGTTCAGAGGGTACTGTGGTTACCACAAACAAATACCTGTGTTGAAGTGATATCTGTTTGTGTTAAAAACTGAACAGACACTTGTGAAGTGCCTTATTCCACATTAAACTCTATGCTAGAAGCACTTGTAATGTTTAACCGAGGGCAGCGCTCACACACCCTTCCGGGCACTTATCCAAGAGCTTAACTGCCACATGGGTTATTATGTCAGACTTACAGCAATCAAGAGAGACAGGTACAGAGGTGTTAGGAGTTGTGGTACAGCCTCAGTGAAAATCTGTATGCTGAAATATCTCAGAATATGACTCTATTTGTTGGTAGACCCTGAAAGAAGAAATTCTCCAATTAGACTGGTATCTGGACTCATATCTAGTCCAATATGACTGGTGACTTTATGAGAAAGGCACTTAAGCCACAACCATGAGATACACACAGAAGGAAGGGCGTGTGAAAGGCTTGGGAGCCTGTTTTCCACATGGAGAGGAGCCATAGGCAACAGCAGCCCTGAGCTTACACACGGCCTCCAGAACTGGGAAGAAGTAAATTTGTCCCGCTGAAGCTGATCAATCAATGGTTGTATTAGTTATGCTTTAGGTCACTGTGACCCAGTCCCCGACAGAGCAGCTTAAGGAGGGAGGATTTACTTTGACTCACGGGTTTAGACTATACAGTCAGCAGGGCAGGGAATGCATGGTGAGGTTCATGGCAGAGGGAGAATATGGCTGTATCGAGATATATGATAACACTGTGAACCCCACATTTGCATTTGTGTTAATTAAATAAAATAAACCTTGGGTCAGGAGGCAGAGCTAGCAACTAGTTGGCAGAAAGTAATCATAGAGAGTCAGAGGGAGTCCAGAAAACTGATGCTGAGACACACAGGAAATGGTGGTAGTGGTGGTGGTGGGGACTTTGAGTGTGGCAGTCTCTTTTGGTTTGGGGGAGTGGAAGGACGCTCTTTTTCAGAGATGTCAGCAAAGGGGGAAGGTCTGCTAGTTGCTCCTCGGCCTCTGAGCTAGCAGGTTTTCACCCCAGCCTCTAGCTCCTGAGTCCTATTGGTAAACAGAACAATAGAGATTTAGTTAAAAACTGCATTGGCTGCGTCAGCAGGAGGCGGATCTGGATAGATGTAGAAGTCCCACCTGGCTGCTCCCAGAGAAGCAAGCCAGTAACTGCCCCACAGCCACAATTACTGGCTGAAACATGAGCAGATTCAGGTGCAGCACTGTGCCGGACATAAAACAGCTTGTGGTGATTGCTGTTTGCATTGTGGTAGATTGGAAAACAGAGAGCATACCTGAACCAGGATCTGCTCGAACCTCCAAGTGCTCACTGCTAGTACCCGACTTGTACCAGATGTGTTCTACCTCCTAGAAGTTCGATAAACTTTCAAAACATTGCCACTCTTTGGGAATAAGCCTTCAAAACATAAATCAGGAACATTTCAGATTCAAACCATAACAAACTGAAATACTATTATATTGTCACTACTATTTTTTCTGATAATTACATGGCTTTAGCAAAGCATAAATAACTTCCTCAAAATTCCATGTACCTAATAAAAGTCTACAACAGGACTTGAACCAACCCAAATCTTACAAAATCCTATCACCCTACTCGGTTTGTCTTTCTGTTGTCTGTCACACAGTATGGACATGAAGTTATCGAGAGGGTCACCAGAGAGGGTCAAGGTGGGAAAAAAAATCAGAGAGCAGATTTGTTCTTTGGCATACTGTCATGGCTGGTTGTTTTATTGTTGCTGATTTCAGGCATCCCCTGTTCCTGACCTGGGTCTTCTAGGTTGTCTGCTGGGCTCCCTGTAGGGTTCTCTGTGGAGGAGAATCATCAGGAGGAGGTTGCTCCTGTAACTGCTAATGCACTAACTGGAATAAGTGACTGCTAGTGATGTTCATGAAATCATCCTTTTGAAAACACTAAGTTGTCTGGAGTAAGGTGGAAACTTCTAGAATAGCAGATATAGGGGAATCTGTGAAGGGGATAAAGACATTCCCTTCTTTTGAAAAACACAGTGAGGCTGGGTGGTGGTGGCACATGCCTTTAATCCCAGCATTAAGGAGGCAGAGGCAGGTAGATCTCTGTGTTCGAGGCCAGCCTGATCTACAGAGTGAGTTTCAGGATTGCCAGAACTACATAGAGAATCCTTATCTCAAGAAGAAAAAAAAAAATCACAGTGATTGTTAAGACTATATGCTTTGTGGAATTTCAATAATGATGTAATCATTGGGGACTGGTACAATCAGGTTAGATTCCTCAGAACAGAAAGTCAAAGGCATGGTATTATTTGATTAGATATGATAAGAATGAGACATTTCATGATAAGGGACAAATCACGCCTTGGGTCAATGGTTTGCGAACAGGTTGGCCCACAATGCACCTGGGGATGTATGGATGAGCAGAAATGAGCCGTGTCTTTACAGTGAGCACAGTGTGTTACTCTAATCTAGGTCAGTGGTTCTCAATCTGACTGAGCCGAGCTGTAATGGGACCCCAGGAGCAATTGCAGCAGGGTCCAGCCCCACAAACTCTGGTTCATTAAATCCAACCTGGATTTCAAAGTGCTCCCCATGGGGTTCTGATAAGAACGAATCGCAAGGAAGTGTCTGGACCTGGGTCTTCCACAGTGTCAACAGGGGGGGCTCCCCCAGAACCACGGCGTTCTCCTGAACCTTCCAAATGCTAAGAGCTAGGCATAAACTCTAAGGACAGAAACATTTCAGGAGAATGAGAAACGAAAGTGATGGGAGGCAAACCCTCCTGATAAACCTACATGTATGCCACATGTCGGACTAAATCCAAAGAAAATACTTGTCAGCAAAGTGAAGGGGATAGTCTACACCTACTGTAATCATCACAATCAGGGAAATGCTCCCCTCAAAATGTGATCTTCTGAGCCATGTTTTCAATGAATGACAGAATTACTATGCTAAGAAAGGCTACATTGCCACGAGATAGACCCTTTTTCTTGGTCTTACATTAGCAAGGGCCAGAAGATCCAGCGTAACCCAAGCAAGGGTTCTGTAACTCTGATGTTTTCTACAGTGGGTCATGGAGCTTTGTGAAAAGGTATCCGTGACCAGAGGGTGTGGAATTAGGAAAGCACACAGATGTTTACAGCTCTATCCACAGTGGAGATGGGCTCAGTGACTCTGCCCTTGAGTAGAAGTCAAAGCGGGAAAAACATTAACAGCCCAGTCTGGGCAGGGAGCACCAACCACCCACCCAGAACAGACAGGGTCTGTAAGCACAGGGGACCCACACAAGGCCACGTCTCTCACCTTGTGCCTCTGGCGACCATGGCTAAGCATCAAAACTTGGCACTGGTTTTTCATTGTATTTAAGAGAAATTTCTTCTTCTGGTGGAATGCCAGCTGATCACCGGAGGCAAGGCAGGTCCTGCTCACCATTGCCCTTGAGGAAGACGGAGAGGACAAAAGAGGGCAGATGTCATCTAGTCACAGACAAAGGTCAGAAAGGAATTTGTCCAAAGAAGAGTTAGGAACCCTCCCTCCCTGGAATCCCCACCTCAATCTGGCGGTATTTGCACAATGCCACTGTCCTCAGGTGAGGCGACAAGGCCAGGGGGTGGGGGTGGGGCCAAGAGGTTCCCTGGGACCCAGCAGGTATGTCTGCAGTTTTTGGTGTAGTGTATAGAGGGCAAGTTGCTACAGGAAAAACCTGTTTGTTTTTTATTTTTTTCCTAAGCTCCACAAAACTTTATGGGGACACAATGTTTATTGCCAAAATTCTGTAAGGTAATTTTGCTAGCAGGTTTCTGAACTGGGTCTACCAATCATGTGTGTTCACACTGAAATAGAATCGTTTTCATGGGCCTGTGGCAGACGCCCCAAGTATCTAGACACTACCGAAGGCTTGTCCATATGAGAACAGCCAGGCAGCTATTGATGCTAGCGAAATCGTCAGACTCAATGCATGATCTAAGCAGCAACGGATCCGAAGGTTTTAACTGGGCAGTACGGGAGACTGACATTCCCCCATCTCATCCCGCAGCCTGTTCTTCTCGGTGTCTTCTGTGTCATCGATAGCTGCCTCGTAGTCGTTTGCTGTCCCCAAGTAAAGTGCCTTTCCCTCTGCCTCACATGGAAAAGGTTGTGGGGTTCTGGAGGAATCTTTCGAGTGACCGTGAGTTCAGCGGCTCTTTAATACATTATTTTTCAAGGTCAGATGTGCACTGCCAGCTGCCAAGTGTCACCAGCGTGTGTAAAGTCCCTAATAATTCTGTTGCTTTCGGGACAAATCAATCCTGACCAGTCCTTCAAGGCCTAGACATCTTCTAATTGTCTCTCTATCGCTTAGGCCCCCAGTCACTCACGTGACCCACTCTGTCCTGCCTCCCTACCTCTGTGAACTATGTGTCCATGGACCAGCAAAACGGTCTTCCTTCTTGTCTGCTATTCCTCCACGGAATCTTGAAGCATCTCCCAGGTTAGGGCTATGTGCTAATCTACCCTGGACACACAGATACAGACTGACAGACATATTCACATAACTATAGAATATAGACATGGACCTACATTCTCACAAACCACACACACATATGCACTCACCCCTACATATGACACAGAAGCATACATGAATGTGCAACCTCACACAGATACACAGACACACGCACACAAAGAAACACACGTGAACAATCACACAGATACACATGTGTACATACAGATGAACACAGATACACACATGGAAATACACATAGATATATATTTTTTCACACATGCATACACAGACATACCTATATGCACACACCCAGATATACGTATATGCACACACACACAAACACAGATGATGCACATGTGAATACACATTCTCATACAGTCACATAGACACACACACATATAATTACCAGATACATGTGCATTCACCAGATACAAACATAAATATAGACACACTCACACAAACATACCCATGTATGCACTCTTCCAGATACACATCCATACACATGAACACAGATGACACACTCACATAAACATGCATTCTCATACAGTCTTGGGACAAAGACACCCAAATATTCACTTGCCCATTCAGCCAACTGTGTATACAAATGAATAGAAAGACACACATGTATGAACATACATCCTCACATGGATGCATACATAGACACACACATGTGCTCACATAGATACATACATGTGAACAGATACATACAGACACACGTACATAGAAACACAGTCACATAGCTGCATGTACACAGTGTATATTTTCAAATAAATATTCAAATAAACACAGCAACAGAGACACATGCATGCATAGACATCCTACCCATGAAAAACATATGCAGCCATGAAGACACACACAGACACATAGACTCACAGTCCAAAACACATGGGCATTCCCAGATACATAGCCACACATACATGCAAATGTAGTGATATATACATGTACACTCAGATACAGACACATATCCACAGAGGCACATACATATGTACAAATACACACACTTTATGCATCTACACAGACAAACATAGTCTCTCTCTCTGTGTCTCTCTATCTCTGTCTCTCTCTTACACACACACACACACACACACACACACACACACACACACATACCCCAGACACAATTAGGCTCATTCAGACACACAGGCAGATACATCACTTATATAGCCAGCCACAAGACATGCAGCCTCCACACATATGATACACATTCAGACACATATACATACTAGATGTACATACAGGCGCACATAACACCAAATGCATATGCTCACAGACACAGACGTGCAAATATATGCAGGTCCATACACAAATACAGCCTACCAAGAAATACACACACGTGCACAGGAACAGATTTGCTTAGACACACACACATAAAACATGTTCTCTCTCTCTCTCTCTCTCTCTCTCTCTCTCTCTCTCTCTCACACACACACACACACACACACACACACACACACACACGTGCACACACACACACACACACACATGCACAGTCACAACCACAGTTTCTGCTGTTCAAATGACTGCTTCCTGTTTGTTTCAAAGCCCTTGTCAACCCTCTAGCAGGAAGCAGTGTCTTTTCTGGCCTTGGCTAACACTTCTAGGTGCGTCCTGTACGAGTGGATAAGGGACAGATTCAGCCCCCATACATGAAGGGTCATCTAAGACCGAGGCCGTGCTGGGAACTTGAGTGCCAGCCAAAAGGTGCCCTATGTGTTCTGCAAGGACACAGATGCCCCAGACAGTGGCCCTCTTTTAAGTCAGCAGATTCAACGTCTCAGGGAAATGTCAAGTCACCCTCAGATCACCCCACGACGGTGGAAGAGCCTGTAGCTGGACACGCGACCTTTCTCAGTAGAATCCATCTGCTATGGGGGCCTCCTTTTACTGTGAGCAGGTAGGAAACTGAGTCAATAAACGGTGCTTTCCAACACTCCTCGTGGCCTGGAGGAGACCTGAGGAGTGGCCATGGCTCCGAGATGCAAACACGGTGCTGCCTCAGCTGTGTGAAACCACCAAAACTATCACCTAGAACGTACGTGTTCCTCGCGGTAAACAGACGGACAAATGCAGGTGGAAACGAAGTGACCAGCAGAAGCCATGCTTTTCTGTCTTCCCAGTCGACTAGTGGATCCGTCACTACAGAGGAGAAGGGAAGTTTGTCTGTCCTGGACACGTGGTCAAAGCTGCTGCGAGGGCACGGAGGCCATCCTTCCTGGAGCTGTGTGTCACTGGCAAGGTTCCCCAGCTACTGAAGCTCACAGCCTTGTGCTCACAGGAGACATAAATACAGCCACATGTGCTCCTACCTCTTACATCACAAAAATATTTAGGGAATTATCCGGCCACCGGGACTACGTCTCACTCGGCAAAAGTTAATTATTACTATGACCCAGTGAGCTGATGTCCTTAATGAGTTACTGAGCCCTTTATATTTTTATTTCTCTTATTACAAGATCTTACCATTGATTTGACTCTCCCTGTGCCAGAAAGAGAACTCAGGGCCGAACGAATCCTCTTTTACATTTGTTTAAGATTTATTTTTGATTATGAATGTATGTATGTATGTATGTATGTATGTATGTGTGTGGATTTGTACACATTAGTGCAGAGGCCCACTGAGGCTAGAGGAATCAGATCCCTGGGGTTACAGGTGATTTTGAGTCACGTGTGTGTCCTTGGAACCGAACCAGTCCTCTGCAAGGACAGCGTGTGCTCGTAACAACCCCGCCACCTCTCTGGCTCCGTAGTCCTCCTTTTCTGATAAAGCCTGTTTTCATCTGACACTACACAATGTGCATTACGCACCTAAAGACCGCCCTGGGCAATCACACTGATTCCACTCTGGGTTCTCCCCAGAGGAGAGAAGAGCGCTTGTAACAACCTATTGGAGGGGTTTTTGTTTCTCCCCCTCATGTATTGGGGTTGAAATCAGAAAATAATAATAATAATAATAATAGGTCACCAAAACCAGGTTAATTAATGTGCGTGTGTCAGAGGACAAGACCACACTGCACACTACAGGGAACAACAGCAGCAGACGAGTTCTGAGTGCATTTCGTGCACTGAACCCCCATCTCAGCTCAGCCTCAAGATGCACTTCCTTCATTGGGGGGCGTGGAGGAATGGGTGAACTGATTTGATTTTTTTTTTTTTTTTTTTAGTTTTTCGAGACAAGGTTTCTCTGTGTAGCTTTGCGCCTTTCCTGGAACTCACTTGGTAGCCCAGGCTGGCCTCGAACTCACAGAGATCCGCCTGGCTCTGCCTCCCGAGTGCTGGGATTAAAGGCGTGCGCCACCACCGCCCGGCCTGATTTGATTTTTAAGACTTGCTGGCCTCAAACTCATGATCCTCCTGAGCGGTAGGATTTCAAGCAGGGGAGGCCATGCCCAGCTCTGTCTTTGAATGAAGTGCAGCTTAAAAGTTCCCTATGATGGTTCCCATAAGGAACAGGAAACTTATTCCAGGTGCACACAGACAGCAGACAGCTAGCTCAGGGTGCATCAGGTAGAGAGACAGGAATGAGCAGAGGGCTGCTCCACGGCCTCCATTTTCATAATCGTATTCTGGGTACCTGACTGTTCCCTGTGAAGCCCCGCTCTGTGGGTCTTAAATTCTTTTGGTTTAATTGTTGTCTTTGAAAATCTGATGATGATTGTGAATAATACTCCCAGAAAAATGCTCAAGGGCATTACACACACACACACACACACACTTCTAGAATAACTTTTCCTTCACTTTTTCTTTATTTCCTGGCCAAGTGATCAAATACTAACTACAACCCTAGATAAGGATCTAGGGTCCCAAGGACTAATTTGTAATGACCTTCAACAACTTAATAATTATTAGCTGAATATAGTTTTATTTTAGCCACCTTACTCTCCTTTTATAAGTTTTGTATTTAAAATCCTGGCTTTTAACCCTCCTGAAGATTTCAGATAGGTCAAGTGTTTTGATATACTGTAGTCAGCATTTAAAAAAAAAATCTTGGTAGGTTTTGCTGTAATAATTTCTGGGGACTGTTTTGACTTTCTGTTAAGAAAGCACAGTGGGTATTTGTGTATGCCTCCTTATAAATGCTTTATTATAAATTATGCTGAAATAAGGAAAGAGATGGTAATGTTATAATAACCCACAGGAACTTTATCATAATTCACTCTAACTTCAAGACATACTGTTCAGAAAGAAATAAGTAGATACACACGCATATCTGCTTTAGTGACAGAGAAGACATTTCACAAACATGAAACTATATAGTGGATATATAAAAGCAGTGTTGGCAAATTAACTCTGTTGATAACCATATCCATGCCACAATGTTTAACACTGGGGCAATACTTTGTTTGGGGCAAGTCTGGCAGGTCAGCTTAAAGCTGTTCTCAAAGCCCCTTCAGCTTACGACAGCCCCTATAAAAGTTTATAGTCATCCAAACTTACCGTCCTATTTTTTCCTTTGGGACCAATCATCACAGACCAAGAGAAGCTAAATTGATAATAATTTATTAGGGCTGCGTATCGCTTACAATCTATAATAAATTATAAAGACCACAGCATCCTTCTGAAATCTTCCATATTCCCTTCCTAACACTTGCTGCAGTATCTTTAGGACATTTCATTAGATTCGATGCTAGTGTTAGTCAGAGAGTAAAAAACATTAGAAAATTGTTCACAGTACTTCAGATTTATGAAGAGCCCCATTGTTTCAACTTTGTGCAAACCTGTTTGAAATGTGTGTAAGTCCTCTAGAAACATGTAGACAGTGGTGCGGGTTTTCCCGGGCTGGGCAAAGCACGCAGTTCCTTGACTTTAACACCAGGCGATGCACTTTCTTAGGCATTGAAATAAACGCAAGCAGTCAATTACTGATTTCTAAAAATCTTGACCAATAAACAGCATGGAGGTTTAGCCACGTTTTAAACATTCAGATTTAAAAAACGCAGTAAACCATCTGTTCGATAGTCTTCCTCCTTCCTCCCTCTCCCTACCCACTTTGACACTTTTTTCTTTTAAAAAAAAAAAAAAAAAAAAGGAAAAGAAAAACAAAATAACAAACGAAACAACAACAACTAAAACCAAGTTAGGTTTGAGTTCAGTCTTAGGGCCTGGCGGGTGACCCTGGGTGCACTCAGTCCCCGTCTGCCACGTTCTATCCTGTGCTTCTGTCCTCATCTACCAGGTCCGTGTCAGCCCTTTCCTGCTGGGAGAGTTCTCAACCGCCTGCTGAAGGCACTTTGCTCTCCGTGTGGCAGCTCAGCTCAGGGCTGACACAGAGTTGAAGTCTTTGTAGCTGGTGTGCTCCGTCCCTTTCCATCCTCAGGGTCCTGATGGAAGAGGCGCTCAAGCCGGTGCGCGGGACGCTGCCCTGGCCGGGCTGGCAGGCTCACTGGGTCTGTCTTTAAAGGTCCATTGGTGGATAAGCTCCTTACCCATCCTTCGAGGAGGCTCAGTGCACCTTGATGGAATACTTCCGCAGCCTGAGAAACTGCAGAAGCTTGTCTTTCGTCCTCTTCTTCAGGGCCATCAGGGCCCGTGTTTTCTCCTCCAGATCTTGATCGATGGCAAGGATGATCTTGGCCCGTTCCTCTGCCTTCTTGTCTCCGGAGTTCCTGAAGAGCCTCTGCAGGGACTGCTGGTCTACGTTTTCAAAGATGTTGCCCACAGCCTTCTTGCGGGAGGCCGTGTCAAAGTGGTAGCCGTGGATGGACGGGCTTACTCGGAGAGACGAGGACATGCTGGTGCCTTGGTGGCTTCGCTTCGCTTTCATCGATATAAGTCTTTCCCTAGCTCAGCTCGGGCCCTTCCAGGGAGTCTGTCCTAACATCAGCCCTGGACTGCTATTTAAAGTGTGAACAAAGCTCCCGGACTCAAATTACACTGGTGACGTCACATTGATCCCAGGGAGGGGAAAAAGAAAAAAAAAACCACAGAAAGTTAACAGTTGAGTTGCCAAATATCTGGCTCCGGATGCTGGAATGCCTTTCAAAGCTGTGTTCAGTGGGAGTTGGCTACGTACGGGGCTTCCCAGACGACGCTGTGTTGTACAAACGGGCTCTTCGCTTCCAGAAGAAGCTGAAACCAGAAGAGAGAAAGGAAGAGCCCCAAGGCTCCAAATCTCCGCTGAGTCCTGCCGAGCGAGCTCAAGAGAGTTTTAATTAGTACAGAAGTTTAAAAATGCGGGCCAAACCCTGACAGCCTAGGGCTGTGAGCCTTTTGGGCGACCCTGTTGGGGAAGGGCTGCTTGCTGAGCGAGGGTGTGTGGAAGTCCAGGAAATACTTTGGTGGATATCTGATTCTAGAGCCACAGTGTTCTGACGGAAGACTGACCCGGCTCGGCCCCGAACCCAGGGCTCTCAAACTGTGGGCAAGTGCAATCTGCGGTCTCCCCCAGGAAACTGCAAGTGAAACGGTCAAGGGCAGCGGATGGTAACTGTGTAGGTGCTTGGGAGGGGATTGATAGCCACAGCTATCTAAAAGCAGGGAGCAAAGGTTAATGGGGCGCTTTGAGTACTTCAGGCTCCCGAGGAAAGAGCTGACCTTTTGTTTTGAGGTTTAGTTTGGAGTCACTCAGCATAATTAGAGTGATGTTGTCTTCACTAAGAGTTTCAATTTATTACTTTTGCCATCTACAAGACTCAGGCATGTGTGGCTATTGTATGCTAAATGTTACCTTCACCTGGCCTAGAGACACCTCTTTGTGAACCAGATCTCTACTGTACTTTCTGGTCCTCCAAAAAAAAAAAATCAGGATGAGCCTTTATTTTATTTCTTATATAGTCAAGAAAGTCACACACCTGTAATCCTATCTCTCCTGGAAGGCTGAGGCAGGGTGGCAAGCTTCAGGACAGGCTGAGCTACACAGGAATACCCTGTCTCAAAATTGAAATAAATAGCATAGAAATAAAATCGCTATTTTACCTTAATAAAGTTTACATCTTACTAGGAGAAAGGAATGGGGAATTCTTGGGTACAATCTTCATGTGATCTGAAAATAACATCCAGTATGGATAAACATGCCCCAGAGCTGCATGAGCCTAGAAGGCAAGAGAAAACTGGGGTTTGTGGAGGCTAGAGGGGGAAGGGTGTGTCTTAGTTAGGATCCCCGTTGCTGTGATGAAACACCATGACCAAAGCAACTTGGGGAGGAAAGGGTTTATTCGGTTTACATTGCTGTATCGCATTCATCATCAAGGCAGTCAGTTCCGCAACTCAAACGGGGCAGGAACCTGGAGGCAGGGGCTGACGCAGAGACCACGGAGGGGAGCTGCTTACTGGCTTGCTTTCCATGGCTTGCTCAGCCAGCTTTCTTACAGCACCCAGGACCACCAGCCCAGGGATGGCACCACAGTGGACTGGGCCCTCTCCCATCAGTCACTAATTAAGGTGATACCATGCAGCTGGATCTTACGAGGGCATTGTCTCAATTAAGGTTCCTTCCCTTCAGGTAACTCTAGCTCGTATCAAGTTGATATAAGGCTAGCCAGCACAGGTATCTTCTCATGTGACCTGGGCAGCCCTGAAGGAGGTGGGAGCGAGCTGGAGTACCACCCGGGGCAGGAGTGTGTCATAGGCTGGGGGAGCAGTAAGTACAGAGGCCTGGCACAGAGCAGGTGTGTGGCTAGCAGGGGCCAGTGTGGTTGGCCCTACACTGTGAACTGGCGGGTGGGGTGAGAGGGGAGCCCAGGTCAGGAGAAGAAGGTGGTAGAAGACAGCAGACCAGACTATGATCTCAAAGAATCCCATCCCTGCTGAGCCGATTCCCCAGGAGGCGCGTGGCCGCGGGACATACTGAAGCAGGGGAGTGGGGATGTTTTTGTTCATGTTTTAAAGAGCTGTCGCTTCTCAGTGAGGAGTGGGGGGAGTAAGAAGACCCTCTTGGAGACCTCCAAGTCACCTAGACAAGACATGTCGGAGCACATCTGACTCTGGGCCTTCCTCCGTGAAGTTGAAGTCAGGAGGATTGAAGGGTCAGAGGTGAGGCAGGAGGACAATGTGAGCCGTGGGTGACTTTCTCTGCAGAAGCTCCTGTGGAGAACATTTCTTCTTAGATCGGGAACCGTTACTGCTATGGAAACAATGATTTATTGAGATTTTATGATGTGCCAGGCATGGCAACAAGAAATTTCTATAACTCAGTTCCTAACGCTCTTCAAAGCTGTGGGAGCCGATTCTTACACAGGCTCTGACATTCTATTATGCATCGCTTATTGATGGCTCCCAAATGTTACCCAGCCCAGACCTATACCCCGAAGTATAATTCACCTTCATGTGGCTGTATAAAAATATGGCCCGCGTATCTATTGTGTTAAAAATTTGAAACTCCGTCTAACTCCCAGCACCCACAGGTTAGTGGGTACTCACCAGCTCTCAGCAGACAAGCTTGATTTTGCAATGAACAGCAATGAACACAGAATGCCCCTGGTCAGCGTGCAGAGGATACGTAACTGCGGACTGCTCATGCCTATAGGAGACATTGATAGCACACCCGCTCCAACCAGGTTCAGGAAACATTGAAAGACTGAAAGAACCAGGGGTTAGGCAGAGTGTCTGTGAAGCAGTGTCCTATGACCATGCCCAGTCCAGTGTACTCAGGAACTCACAGCGACCTGCACAAGATCTAGACAAGAACAAGCAAGCCGAGGTTCCAGAGTAGACGATGCCCAAGCCAGAACTCCCTAGCTGTCACCCCCATCACCGACTACCACAGTGGTAGCCACCAGGAGATATATAGGTAGCTAGGAGGGAGGAGCAGGTTATTTGGGAGACCTTCAACATGAGATGCTCAATTCTTTTAGCAATGAGGGGTCAGGTGCACTTCAGAGCATCAGCGATGCTGGCTGAGATCTTCCTCTGCCAGCTCCTGTTCCCTACCACTTTGCAGGCATGGCTCCCGGGGGCTCTCTGCTATGGAGCCTCCTAGCCTGTGATTGTTTTCTGTAGATTCGCTCCCTCACAAGCTGAGCCTGTGACACCCTATGCTCTCTCCCCAGGACTGAGACCAAGCCTTTGACCCGCATTCCAGACCCCAGCAATGCTCTAGATTCTCTACCCAGAGACGTGGTCTTCGATAGGCCGTCTGACGCAACTTCTTTTAGCGTTCCTCTTGGGATCACGCCGGGAGCTTTTCTAAATTTTGAAAAGTTCTTTAATTTTGTACATGGACATAATGTATCTGGGGTCCTTTTTACTCCTCGGTTCCCTCGTCCACTCATTTCCCACTCCTACTGAATCCTTTATTCTTCCCACCAAGTCCCTCTCTTACGTCCACGTCTTGTGTTTTATTTTGTTTGTTTTGGTATTTTCTTGTGACTCACCGCAGTTATTTAGGGTTGCATGCATGAGCATGAGCAGGGGGTTTTGTTTGTTTTTGTTTATGGAAGCACAGGGCAATTTATCAGTGGCTACACCACTAAAGAAACTTACTCTCCCGTCGCCTAGCAACCATTGGCTGACAGTTTCTCCTCAGGGAAGGGGGGGGCTCAGGATCCCCTCCTCTGGAATGTTAACTGAAATAATCTTGCGTGGGTGACCCCAGCCCCTGTGAGTTTGAGAACACAGTCCCCGTGCCATGTCCAGAAGACAGTGTCTCACTGCTCTCGTCCCCATCTCCTGACTCTTGCGTGGTTTCTTCCTCCGCATCTGGGATGGTCCCTGGGTCTTTCAGAGATGGAAACACAGCCTCACGTAGAGATGAGCATGCAACAGGCACTTATTCTCAGGGCTTTGTCCAATTAAGCCCTAACCACCACCCACTGCAAACAGAAGCCTCTCTGCTCGGATCTTATTCTCTGGAACTAGCAGCACTAGCCTGTGAGCATAAAAATAAATATTTAGAAGGCTGTTAGACACCATATCCATTTATGAGAACAGTAGTAGGTTTCTACCTAGAGTCTAGGATATCCACAGCCATTGGCTTTTAACCAGGTTTACGTTACAGACATGGATTCCCTCCTTGGGATTGGGCCTCATAGCCAATAAGAAGGGGGTCGCTTACCCCACAACAGTCATGCACTGTAACTGGATTTTTCTGAGTGTGAGCAGCTGTGGTGTACCTCTGCAGCATCTCATCACCCAATGAGACTCTGCAGACCTGAGTTGAGAGTCTTGTGGTGTTGCGATTCACCCTCTTTCAGGAGTCAGTCTGCTGAATGAGAGGAGTCTTTTATAAGAGAGACGTGGAAGGTCCGAAGTGAAAGATGCTGAGCTTTCAAGATGGTAGGAGGAGCCATATACCAAGGAATCCCTGTTTTATAGTCTACTCTGATTCCCTCTCAGGGTCCCCAGAAGGACTGTATCCCTGAAGAACTAATTGAGACTGCGGGCTTCCTAACATGCATGGTAACAACTTTGTGTTGTTTTTTCTTTAAAGCTACATAAATTTGTGGTGATGTGTTATTGCAGCAGACAGAACTGAATACACTCTTCAAGCCCTGTAAGTATGAAGACTTGATCCAGAATTCCTTGATTCTAAAGCCTGTGAATATAATCCTATGTCAGGGAATTCTCAAATCCATCATAAGCTCTGTCTTCATGAATTCTGGCTCTTATGTATATGTCGTGTGTGTGTGTGTGTGTGTGTGTGTGTGTGTGTGTGTGTCTGTTTGAGCAGCACTCCTGAAGGGCTGCCTAAGAGCATTCACATGAATTTGAGACACGAAGAAATTTCAGATCTGTTTGGGTGACAAGCCCCGTCCACAGGGAGACAACGTCAGTGTCTTTGTCCAGCAATGTGACACGGGTCTGATCGATGCACTTTGCCCAGGGAAACTCCACACCGCTGGGAAGCCCTTTGCACCTGCTTCCTCCCTTCCTCGTCCGACTATTTTCAGCAACTGATGCGGAAGACGGGATCAAAAAGCTGCTTGAGGGGACTCTGAGGTTGCACCTGGATGCCCGGCAGTTTTTAATCCCTGCAATAAAGAAGAGAGCCGATGAAGGTATTTTAAAGGGAACGTCTACGTGACCAGTGTAGTTCCTTCTGGGCATTAATTTTCCAGTATTTGCTTATTATGGGAAGAGATGAGATGTTTGCCAGCAACGAATGTGTATGTTAGTTTTGTGCTCAGTGGAGGAATTTGGAAAACACAGGGAAAGAAGCATCTACTATGTAGACATACCTGTTTTTCTTCCGTGTGGGTCATCCCTCCAAACAGCACTGGAGACAGGTAGTGTTCTGACCCTTATCTGCTCCACAGGAAAGGATTGGAGATGGTGAACCCCCAACTTGTCTCTAGGGACTATTTTAATCCACAAACTCTCCTCTGAGGACATTTTCTGACCCTTCGCCTAGGTGACTTCCCTCTCTTGAAGGAAATACGGCAGGAAGTAGGAGAAGTAGTAGCTCGGTAGGGAAGCACCCACCTAGAAGCAAACCCCAGAACTCTGCACCATTAGCTGTAGGCTGCATATCCACAAGCGCTCTGGCCTTAACAACAAGGATGTCATGTTACTATGACACAGAGTATCCTTCCATACTCTATCTCACCTGACTTTCACAACATTAGTATTCTCATTTACACATGAAAGCATGGAATATTCCAGAAGTTGAAGAACTTTCCCAACATCTTGGAGCCCATTAAAATGGCAGAAGCGACCGCGGACCTGTCACTTCCGGTCAGCAAGTTCTGCATGTCGCCTGCCGTTGCGTACCTTCTCTGCTACGTTCCCAGGAGCTTATCTCCTGCAGTGTGAAATTTCTATCCAGCTCCCTTGCACTTGTCCTTCCATGCTTTCATTCAGTGGTTTATAGATTCATTCACTGTTATTGCTAAAGACCAGGTAACATACCACGTGCCTGAGGAGTAATTGGGGGAAATGGACATTGTCCTTCTGTTTGCAGAACATGAACCATGTTGAGCAAACAGGTGAGCATGTAACTGTACAAAGAGAAGGTTGTAAGTACCAGAGACTGAGACGCCCATGGAAAGCTTTATTCAGACTGGCAGGGCTGTCCCGGCACGATTCCACACGCCTTTAATCTCTGCACTTGGGAGGCAGAGGCAAGTGGGTCTTTATGAGTTCTAGGTCAGCCTTGTCTACATGGAGAGTTCCAAACCACCCAAGGCTATGGAGGGAGACGCGGTCTTAAAACAAACAACAACAAAACCAGACGAGCAGAGCCATGCACCGGTGTGAGAGCCAACTTGCTGTAGATGGAGAATCTAGCCAGAAGAGGCTCCAGAGGCAGAGAGGAACGTACAAGTCAAAACGAGCTCCAGGTCAGGGAAGCACACACAGGGCAAGATGCCCTGAAAATAGAAAGCAGAGACAAGAGAAAACTAACGCCGGTGGGTAATGAAGGGCTCAGACGCTGCAGGGAGATGGAGGGTGTATTAAAGATTTATAGTCTTGTTGTGGGTGAAATAGACAGGCTTTTAAACACAGGCACGCAGGATGAGTGCCTTAAACTTTTAAATCTTGTCTTTAAAAAAAGTGCTTTGGCTACTGGGCAATCAAAGAACAACTAAAGGGAACAATTGTGTCTTCAGAGAGTGAACAGCTTATCCTAAGTATATTTTGGAAATAAACTCAAGCATACTTGCTCATCAGTAGGGTGGCAAATGGAATCCAGGTCAAGGTTAAGGACCAGGTCAATTCTTAGGTTGGTAGAAGTGAAGGACAGGGAGGCTGAAGGCTGGCAGAACCTGAGGGGAAGCTCAGTTTGGTAATGCACACAGTACACCAAAAGGTCTGTACACAGCCAGGAAGTAAGCTGGGGTACTGATGCGAACCCCTGTGATTTCCACTCTTTCTTTCTCCGGTAACACTTATCAACAACTCAGTCAGGCCACAGCTGTCTGTACCCCACCCACATACAAACCCAGAACCTAGAATATTAGAATATTGCCTCTATCCAAGACACTTCACATTGTTTTGAATCCTTTTATTTAAGAAAAATCTTTTAAATGTTTAGCATTTGAGATTTAGCCCAAGAGGGCTGGGCAGGGACCACACTGAGGCTTTTCATCCAGTGCTGAATCTCCTCCAGTTTTCTATACTTAAAAAATGATGATTCTCTCCAGTAATTGCCGTGGGAGTTTTACTATATTCCGTGTCCTCATAGGAAACCTTTTTTGGAATACAGTTAATCCTTTTTAAAGTTAGCTCAGATTTTTCCAGGAAACTTTGTTAAATATATTCTCAGTCTTTAATTATTATACCCTTACAACAAAGGGTAGGAATTTTATTTAGAAATTTTTATTCTGACATTTAGTTTACATTAGAGAAAGGAAATAATAAATTCCAAAGAAACATAAGTTCAAAAACAAAACAAAAATAACAAACAAAAAAAACCCCAAAAAATAAAAAACCTTAGACCCAAATGCATTTTCAAATCCTTTCAGTGGAGCTGTGGGAAAAATCTCCAACTTTATTGGAAAGAATTGCAGTCTTTTTTTTTTTTTTACAAAGTGCTTCTTTTTGAACGATGCTTTTGCATGTGAAATGAAACAGCTGTCTTTGGTTAAACCATCAGTCTATATTTGAACCGTTTCCTAAAATAGAAAGCAAAGATAAGCTGTTCCTTTTTAACATTTTAATTAGCTGTCCAGATTCAAATACTGAGCCCTGGTGTTTACAGCTCCTTTAAAAAGAAAACACTTGTGAACATAAACTCACATGTTTTTCTAAGGAAGTGCGTATGTGGTGTTTGTAATATCTATAGCAGCGTGTGTGTGTGTTTCTATAATCTATGACTAGAGCTAAAATGAGTCTTTGTGAGCAATCTCCTCCCACCTGGAGCTCCCACCCACTCCACGCACACATCTGGCTATGGGGCGCTAGGGTATTTCCACCATTCTCCAAGTGGATCCAAGAGAAGTGAGGATTTCTGGTGTGTGCCTTGGAGTTTTATGAGTAATGCGGTACTGCAGATGGTCCCCGCATCCTGTAGAAAACCTCTCCAATGTACTTTATTTTCCTAAGTAGGGTACCACCACGTCTATCTTCACACTGGAGCAAGTGGACTGTGTCTAACTTTCTAGTACCTGTACATAACCGATCTTGGAGCTTTGAAATGCTTTGTTGGTAAAAACCAGCCTGAGCAGGGACAAGACTTCTCATGTTAGCTATTTGGAGGATTTTGCAGCAGAAACAGTGGACCTGCCTGATAGGTGCCTGCCGATGAAAAGGGGGCCATGCATGGGCCATACAAGGCACATTTTAAAAACTGCATTTGTATTTCATTACTCTATAGCTTAATTCAGTCTTTTTTTTTACATATATGCATATGAATTTGAGGTGACTTTTCTGAAAGTGCACAATAAATTACTTATGTTTACCTGCAATTTAAAAATGCTGATGACAGAACACGGCCTAACATGCCACTATTTAAGAACGCCTACTTTTCTTCAGAGGCAAAGTGGCTCAAAATAGGAACAAAGCTCAGACCACGAGACAAAAACCAAATAAGACTAGAAAGTGTGAATTCCATCAACTTGTCGCTCCCATCTTTATCATCAGTTTTGTTTGGCTTTGAGACAGGGTGTTACCGTATAGCGCAAGTTGGCCTGGAACTCACAAACTCCATGGTCCTCCTAGCATGCCCGTGCCTGCTCCATCCCAGGATGGCAACCCAACACTGTCACATCCAGCTTCGTCCATCTTTCAGATATTGAGATGTTCGCCCTCGGAGTGTCTGAGTTAAAACTCTCCTGATGGCAAATGGAGAGATGCTATGGGTGGAGTTACTGTCATAAGAGCCTAGAGTAGAGAGATGTAAAGCGAGCCCAGAGCACCACTAAGTGCTGGCCCTGCACACACTCCATTAGACCAGACTAGCCAGGTCTTTCTGGGCTCGGAGCCTGAGCTGGCCCTGAAGGTCATTCTTCCTTTATTGTGTTCCATTTTGCCTTGTGTTTGCTTGTTCCGCTATTTTGTAATTAGGACAAGGTCAGAGGTCCCACTAGTCTAAGAGACTGTCTTACTCAAACGTTCTTTTTTACCCTGAACGCACATTTGATTTCCACCTACAATTATTTTAAAGATATATAATAGTCAGCTTAAAAGACAGGTGGGGCACGGGGCTACGGATGGCCGCCACCCTTGGGCATGTCACTGGTGAGTGAGTTGCCCAATGGTAAGAGGTCACACACAATGGCACGAATCACCGCCTCCCTCCGGCCCTGTAGCCCAAGGTCATGGGTGGAGCAAATACTACTACATTTCCCCTTTCTAAGTAAGAAGGTTCTAAACTTAATGCAAACTATCTACAATAAGAATGGTTATCAAGTGTTATCCAGGAAAAACATAGGGTAAAGGTAAGGGAGAAGGGTCAGGAGCCCCTTCACTCTGTTGTCTGCTTCCTGGTTCATCAAACGGCCAGGTGGATTGGCTCCAGGTCAGATCAGAGGATGACTTCAGCTGTCTGCTCCATTCTGTATTCGTGAGTGTATTTCCTCAACTAATATCTTAATAAATCCCTATTACCCATTTAAAAAAAAAAAAGAAGAAGAAGAAGAACCCACGTGACCCCTCTCCCTTTCCTTTTAAGAGGTCACTTACAAGGGCAAGAAGCACCTTATAGCCCAAGGTCATGGGCGGAGCAAATACCACTACAAAATGGTGATGGGCAGGACCAGCCAGTGAGTCTTCTCCAGGAAGGCCGTGAAGCACTTGAGGCATTGCTAGTACACCAGTTTGAAGTCGGTCATTGCCATAACAGGGATCCCAGGAAAACACATTTTAATGTGCTAATGGGGGAGGGGTGCAGAGAGACAGGACTCAAAACCCAGAGGCTGATGCGCGTGAAGCAAGCCTGAAGCTACCCTACAAGAACCTGGACTTAGTAAACTCACAGAGACTGAGCGAATGGATATGTGCCGAGAGTGTTCAGCTGTGCTTAGAATGACCACTTTGTCAGCATATTATAGAGGTAGATTATTAGTTGGAATAGTTACTGTTTATTTTGTTT